ACCCAGCAAAGCTTTCTCTTGCTTCTTCCACTGTTTTTGGAATTGAAACCAATCCAGCTGTCTCTAAGGATAAAAATGAAAACAAACATAAAAATAAACCACTCTTGGGCTTCCCTGGTGGCGCAGTGGTTGAGAGTCCGCCTGCCAGTGCAGGGGACATGGGTTCGTGCCCCGGTCCGGGAGGATCCCGCGTGCCGCGGAGCGGCTGGGCCCGTGAGCCATGGCCGCTGGGCCTGCGCGTCCGGAGCCTGTGCTCCGCAACGGGACAGGCCACAACGGTAAGAGGCCCGCGTATCACAAAAAAAAAATAAATAAAAATAAACCACTCTTACATTGCAAAGAGTGGGGAAAATTGGCCATTTTTTAATATTAGAAATTTCAAACAGATGGTGAGCTAATTTATATTTTCATTTTGAAATTTACTTTCCCAGTGGGAATGCAATTAAGCCATATTTTAAGTCCATTCAAAGTGGCCTTCATCTGAAAATGTTGTAGACATATCTATAGATAATGCTCTCAACCAATTGGCAGAGGTTAAGGACCCAGGAATGCTAGCTCCCCCTCTCCTAGACCACCCTAACCAAGGGGCCCTCGGGATAGGAACCTCCTCCATGAAAACTGGCCTCCTATCCTCCCTGCCTCCCATCCTGCCCCACTCAGGGCTACTTTCTACTGAGCTGGCAAAGCAATCTTCCTTTGTTGCAGATTTGACAATGCCAGCCCCCTGCTTGAAATAAACCTTTCAATGACTCCATGTGGCCCTCAGAATTAAGTTAAAACTCTAATATTTGTAGGTTGTCAAAGTCGTCCTTGATCTGATCCTGCTTATTCCTGCCTGCCTCAGTCCTGGTCTCTCACTGCCAGGAATTTGTACTCACTGTCCCTCTTTACCTGACTCATGCCTCCCTTTCCATTTTGACTTACAGTCTAGTTGCAATCCAGTGATAAAACTATTTTACCATGCTAAAATATGGCCAAGATACTTTTACCTAAAACATTTAGGATGCTATAGCTTCACTGATTATACTCATGTTTGCCCATGATTTTCAGTCTTACTGAACATATTCCATCTTAGACATTTTCCTGTGTTGTTCAGTGAAAACACGTATTAAAATTCTGCAGCAACACAACCTTACAAAAAGATCAACAACCCCAAAAGACAAACATTTTGCCTAAATTGCTGAAAGCGATCTAACCATGAGTGAATGATTCTTTTCCATATATGATGGAATTTTCCACTAATGTGTCTCCTTGACTCTGGCCACATCCACGTGTGCTCTTGTCATGCCTTGTCACACACACTCCACCTCTGAAATAGCAGTCCCCTAAACTGGATGTGTTCTATTTCCATTTGTTTATTCCATGATTAAATAAATTCTAACATCTGAACTACATGTTGTACAAAACTGAGTTATAATCCAGATTTTAAAGGAGGAAGTAATGGTGGCAAAGGATATACAGATATTGTAAGACTCATCTGAGATTTCATAGTGTTTATGACAAAGATAAAAATAGAAGTCCTATCTTTGGATCCTGTTCTCAGTTTAGAGGTTCTCCTGGTTTGGGGAATAAGAGAAAAGAGAGAATTTGTCCTTTGTTCTGGAAACTAATAGCCTTGAAGAAGGATGAGTTCCAGAGCAGTGGGCCCCAGACTAAGATGGTCAGCATCTCTTCCAAAATTCAATCTGGAGTTGACAGGTAGAATGGGTGCTCCCACTGTACTTGTTATGGGGACATCTTTGGGTTTGCTCCACCTTTCCATTTCCTCCTTCAGTGTAGTGTCACTTGCCCAAAATAGCTTTTAACTGACTTGCTTTATGGATGTTTTCCATAGAGCACTACTCCTTTCCTTTGAGACTTCAATTTATTTATTTATTTATTTATTTATTTATTTATTTATTTATGGCTGTGTTGGGTCTTTGTTGCTGCGCGCGGGCTTTCTTTAGTTGCGGTGAGCAGGGGCTAGCTACTCTTTGTTGCGGTGCGAGTACTTCTCATTGCGGTAGCTTCTCTTGTTGCAGAGCATGGGTTCTAGGCACGTGGGCTCAGTAGTTGTGGCTCATGGGCTCTAGAGCACAGGCTCAGTAGTTGTGGCACACGGGCTTAGTTGCTATGTGACATGGGAGATCTTCCTGGACTAGGGTTCAAACCCGTGTCCCCTGCATTGGCAGGCAGATTCTTAACCACTGGGCCACCAGGGAAGTCCCTGAATTTAATTTTAGTAAATGGATTGAATTTTATTTTTCTTTTAATGAAAGCCGTTGTCATCACATCACCCATCATTTTATCCTTCCATATTTGTGTATCTTTTATTCATGTCACCAATTTATTGACGGCATTGTTAACTTCTATAATGTTTTTCTTTTATATATTCACATAAAGTGAACTCTTTCCCATGGCTTTCTTTTTTTGTTTGTTTGTTTGTTTTTTGCGTTATGCGGGCCTCTCACTGTTGTGGCCTCTCCCGCTGCGGAGCACAGTCTCCAGACGTGCAGGCTCAGCGGCCATGGCTCATGGGCCCAGCCGCTCCGCGGCATGTGGGATCTTCCTCAACCGGGGCACGAACCCGTGTCCCCTGCATCGACAGGCGGACTCTCGACCACTGCACCACCAGGGAAGCCCTCCCATGGCTTTCTTAATCAAGAGAGTTTTTATACTAACTTATTTAAAGCCCTGTAAATCTAATCACTTCAATACATTTTGCCTGTTTACTAGTGGGGAACAAAATGCATTGATGCTTTTTCCTTTTAAAAGAAAGTTTAGTTTAAGTTTAGAAAAGTTGGGCAAAACCAGATGTGATGTCTTACTGTTTTTATTGCTTCAGTGTTCTGGAACAAAATGGCCCCTGCATGCTTGATATAATTAGACAATTAATTTAGGCCTAGGCAACTTGGAGCCAGGCTCTGGAGGCAGGCAGGGGCCCCACCATTTCAAAGCTGGGTTACTCTCAGCAAGTTACATACCAGTGTGATCTTCAGTGTCTTTCTTTGTCAAATATAATTGTTGGGAGCAAGAAATGAGATGACACCTAACAAGGCACTTTATTAACCTCTTCTCTAGCCCTCCCTCTCCTGCCTTTTTAACAAGTATTTCAGGAAGAGTTAATGAGAACCAGATGATAAAGCCACAAACACCATCCTTGGTCTCCTGTTCCTCCAAAATAATAATAATAATAATAACTGGAAGCAAGTAATTAATCCCCATGATTTGAAAAAAAATGTGAATATATGGCTCATATGTCTATTACTAATATATGTAAATGATGAGGCTTTGTTTGACCCAGACATGCCGCTGATTTTATAGAATATTAGTGTACAACAGTTAATCTGAAATTGCTCCATATTCTGCAACTTTAATTACCAAATTTGGAATCGGATGGAGTTCTGACCATAATCACAAGAAACTCAAATACAGGAAGATGCTACTTTCCCTGATGCTTTGTTATTTAGTTCCACTGACAGCAGATTAGTCAGTAAGCCCTTAGGAGGATGCTTTCCACTGAGCCTCAGACTTGGGAATGCCTTGGCTGTTTTTACAAACAAGCTAACCTGATGGAAAGTCATTTTCAGCTGAAGAATCCTACAGCACAATCTCTTGAATTGTGTTTACTTATTTGGATACCATTTTGAAGTGTTTACTTTCAATCTCTTTTTTGACATCCTGCAGCCATGAATGTCAGGACATTAGGGAGATCCAAGACCTAATTCTCACCACGGGGCTTGAAGTAATTTTGATGAATTCCATAGATGAAAGATGGCTATCATTCTTCAACTAGAAATGTAGAGTCTCATCATTTGAAGAAGTTGCAATGATCTCTAGTCTAGTCACATGCTTGAAGCTTAAATTTGCTCCAAAACCTCCCAGTCAAGTGAGATTCAACCCTTCAGAGTATCCTTGGACAGCTCTGGCTATTAAAAAATTCTTCCTTCTCTTAAACCTCATAGCTTCCACCCTCGGCTCCAACCAATGTTGGGGACATAAAAAGCAGCTCTGCTCAAACTTACGATGCTGCAAACTTCTTGAGGGCAGGAACTGTATCCACTACAGCTTCTAGTAACTTGATACATGATTGCTGAGTGGAGTTCAAAGCAGATTTTGTTCTTTATTTCAATATATATCTTACAAAAGAGCAGATCATCAGTATATTTAAGTTCTACTGAGAAAGCATCACATAAAATTACTGATTTTATTATCTAAATGCTAGAGCTGATATATTTTATTCTTTCAATTTTATAATTCAAGCAATTTTTATCTGTCACGTACTGCAGTTTCCCTTCATTATAAAATAACATACTTGGGACTTCCCTGGTGGCACAGTGGTTAAGAATCCGCTTGCCAATGTAGGAGACACAGGTTCGAGCCCTGGCCTGGGAAGATCCTACATGCCGCAGAGCAACTAAGGCTGTGTGCCACAATTACTGAGCCTGTGCTCTAGAGCCTGCGAGCCACAACTACTGAGACCGCATGCTGCAACTAATGAAGCCCGTGTGCCTAGAGCCCATGCTCCGCAAGCCCCCGCTTGCCAAAACTAGAGAAAGCCCGTGCACAGCAATGAAGACCCAACACAGCCAAAAAAATTAATAAATTAATAAATAAATGTGTTTAAAATAAATAAATAAATAAAATAACATACTTAATTGCACTACAGATATTAACTACAGACGTCACATGTGCAGGACAGACTGTCTCAGGCCCAGAGGAGTTGAAACCCCACTGAAGTAGGCATTGGACATTCTGGGTTCTAGCACCAACTCCACCACTATCATCTGAGTGACCCTGACTCTTGGTTCCTCTTCTGCAAACTGTGAGGGTTGAACCAAATGTTCTCTTAAAGTTCTTTCCAGCTTTACAGGTCATTTGCATTTTTGACTTATTTGTCCCTGTCAAAGAACACAGACCTCTGATTTCCAGTTCAGTTCTCAATTTATATTGCCAGTAACTATCCATATGTACACTGTTTAAAGCTAGGGCTGCTTTTTCTTTCCTTTTTTTCATTGCAGAACACTTTTCTTCAGGAAACAGTGCGTAGAGAGTGTGAAGAACGCTTTGAACTGACGGAGGCTTTGAGTCAAGCCAGAGAACAGCTCCTGGAGCTCAGGAAGCTCGGCGGACGCTCACCCCTATCACCATCCTCCCTCAGCCAGGGCAGCCTAACCTCCTCTGTTGCAGCTAGCAGCAGTCAGGGAGAGAAGAGGCTCGCAAGACTGAACTCCGAAATGAGAATCAAAATCCCCAGCCTGCACGGAGTGTCGAAACCCACCGCTTCCCCAGCCTCAACTCAGCCCAGCAGGGTCAGCAGCTCAGGTTTGCCCACCCTCCCCCAGCCACACCCTCCCCGGGGTCGAACGTCTTCAGTCAGTGAGACCCGGCAGAGACTGGCTGTCATTCTGCAGAGGAGACTGAGTCAGCAGTGATGGAGCCAAAGTCAGGAGCAGCTCCACACAGCATGCCCATCTTTCCCAGAGTCCAGAAACTCACTGTACGAGGATGAAAAGGATCAAATTACTACCACAGATTAAGAATGCATACTTACAGATATTTTTAACAAGACAGTTGGAAAAGCTAAAGAATTGTGAAACCACATTTTCCAAGAGGCCTTTGAAACTGCAACAGATAATGAAGTTGTTGGTATTCCAGAGGGCCAATTTCTATATTTATGTATTGTGTGTTTCGATGTGCTCTATGAATATGCCCTTTTAGAGATCATAGGTAAAATTTTTCACCCATAGCATCTTTTCTACTTTTTTGCACTATTACAAGCAGATCTACTTCCACAAAATAATAATAATAGATTTTATTGGTTTTGTTGGTGTTTGTTCATTTGTTTGTTGAACTGAATAGGTTAAATAGATGTAATTAGTATTCCAAATAGAAAATGAAAGGACTTAATCCTTAATTTGATAATTTTCAAAATGCTTATTCAAATATTCACAAAGTTCTTCACAATCAAAACTTTCTCTTTTTCACCTCACAATCTAACTGGTTAATCTAATTTCTTTTTAAGTGTGGTCAGAAGTAATGATAGGTAATCTTTGGGAAGACAGTCTGGGAACCTCTAGAAAAAGGGACAGAAACTCCAATTCAAGAAAAAAGTGGTTTATTTCTCAAACTATAGAGATTATTTTCGATAACAAGGAGGCTGGCCATGGAAATATTACTTGGTAGAGATTTTCTGCATTGAATGCTTTTTGGTATTCCAGGTCAGATTTTGGTTTTAACTAGTATTCTGGAGCCATTGTGTAGAGAACTAATTGAAGACACTTTAGTAGATGCACGTAGTGCTAATTTGGGATTCAAATTGTATTACCCCTGAAAATGGGCATCTTGTTAACATGTTTTCTATTTTCAGAGTGAAAAATTAAAACCAGAAACCAGACCAGCTATTTTACGTAATCTTAAAGCTTCATGTTCCTCCCGTTTCTTAAAACACAACTCTTTACCTTACGCTAGTATTTATTTATCATTTTATCCATCTGATAATAGTGTATTTCTCTTCCATGACTGATTTTACTCAAATCCTTCATCTGACTGCATCATAGATATCCAGGCTTCTTACTCCCAGATTAGAACGATACTAACATGTGTGAAATATGGCACATAAAACTCTCTGCTATTTGGCCACCATATAGATGAGAGAATCCAAAGGTACTTGGAATCCCTTCCATGTGCAAAAAAAGTAAAGTTACTAATCAAAATCAAGTTTATATCCAATCTTTCAAAGGATTGATCTAATCTAGGGTGTTTTAACCTCAAACAATTCCACATTAGCGCCACTAACTTCCCCGACTAGTTTAAGTGAGCACATCGTGTATAAAGTCTTAACAATGCTTGCTTTTGTTTTACAGAGATTGGCGTACTTATAATGCATTTGACAGGAGAACATAACGTCATCTAATGGTGGTGCTGGAGTGGATCTTAGAGGCCAACCCCAACAATCTCTCTCTTTTTTTTTTTTTGCCAGTTTGTTCGTGTTTTATTGACGCCTGGATGCTCAGGCCTTGATCGCGCACTTCCATGGTGGGTGTGGCTCCTTCCGCAGCTGCCTCTTGACCTTCATGTTCCCTTCGGGTTTGTTCAGCTGGCGTCACATGGCACAGTTCCAGGGGTCTATACTTCTCGCCCTTATATAATTTCCTGAGGTTCTCCTGGTTGATGACGGTGAGAACATGGGCGATGGATTTGCTAACACCTCGGACCTTGGAGAGTTTAGAAGCCGCGCCTCTTGTCACTTTAGCGACGCGCTGCTGAGACAGCGCCACCTTCAGGTCCTCCAGTTGTTTCAGCAGCTCCTCCTTGCCTCCAAGGTCTCAGGCCTTAATCTTGGCCATGGCTGTACAAGCGGCCTCGGCTGGCTTCTTAGAGGGAAAGAGAAACAGTCTCTTTACAAATAAGGAATAGATGCTCAAAGAAGTCTAACTTGGCTAAGGTGGGACAGCTAGTTAGTAACTGAGCTAGAACCAGAACCACTACTACCCGAACCCAACCTTTCCACCTCACTTTTCTGCTTACCAGAGAGTCCCAAACCTCCATCATGACTTTTGTCAGAAGCACCGACAGTGTGGTTACCTAATATTTTCTTTAAATGCACTCAATTTTTAAACTTAAATTTATATAAAAAGGAAGCTTGACCCGAGGAGGAATAATTATAAAGTAATGAGTTTAATATACTTTAAGATAAATATGTATCTATTAAAATACAAAATGTTGTTAACATACCCCCTAAAATTATCTTGTATAATGCCAGCAGTACTCATGCCACACTCTGGAGACTACTCCACCAGACCTCAGTGTTTTTGATCTGGTGTTTGCATGTTCAGATTACAAATACTCATAAGGTGGATGGCAAAAGCTAGTGGAAAGTCTAGTAAAAGCACAGGAGAATATTTTGGGCAACAGTCTTTGTTGTCATATTATACGTGCTTTTCCACAGTCTTGCAATTTCAGTTCTCTCTTCAGGAACCATGGGGCTACATTTTTTCTAAATTATGAACATATTTAAATTTGTAAAGAACGTCACCCATAAGCTTTTCAAAAGTGACATACAGACCATCCATTGCAAAACCTGGTTTCTCAGTTTGTTGTTACACTCTTCCTTTACAATGAGTAATTTGGTAAATAGGCACTCTGAGAATAGAATCATGATCTGCAGTCAGGCTGTATTATATTCCACACGTATGTCAGAGAGGTAATTCCATGGATAAACATAGAGACAATATTTACATTTATTTCAACCTAGACCATCTGAAGCAGTCTAGGTTGTGTGCTTATATCTTTTGAAGAAAGACACTTAGAAAAGAGAATAGCATTAGAGTACGTAACCTGAGGGTTAAGAACACGTTCAAACTTTCCTTGATTTTTGCACTGATTAACTCCTGGCATGAAAGAGTATCAGGAATGTTAAGAAACCAGTGACTATTATGGCAAAATAGGGCTCTCAAATGCATATAATGGATATTAAGTCTAATAGTTTTAATTTCCCTATAAGACGTACATTTTCCATGACTTCAGTGGAAGAATTTATAGGTGTCAAAAGAAAAGAATAGCATAGAAAATATTCCTTAGGAAATTATAATACTGTTTGTTTCTTTTCTTAAACTTAGATTGGTAGACAAAGATGGGGGAATTTTTCTGTAGTTAACAGATTTCTCAAGCACTATTTTGTAAAAGTTTATTGAATTAAATGACTATAGTTAGTCAGAACTACTTAAAAGTTATATTTTCTGGCAATAGAATTGACTGGAAGAGAAATTAATATTGAAAATTATGTTAGCTAAGATCTTTTAATGTTCTATTGGTCTAAAAGTTTTTGTAATATTACAGATTATAGCCAATTTCTTTTTGATTATGCAACAAGTTTTCTCAAGCTTTATCTTTTAAAGTTCTTATGATGATTATAATATTGCACTTATAGATCAACCTAGTACCCTAAAAGGGTTAATTCTCTGTAGCTGAAAATTCCGAACCATCATGTTGAGTCTTACTGAGCACGGGAAATCAATTTGGTGTGTGTCCAAAGTTCACAAATCCCACAGTAATTATGGATTTTTTTACTTTCATGTTTTAAGATAATAATTAGTGTATACTGTAACTTGCGCAGGGCACCTTTAATGATCCCAAACCATGATAGACAATGATGGAAGCATTCCTAAGGCAGTGTCTGTGGTATCTTAAGGAAGAAATTCTACTTTTTCTTTTGAAAATATTAACCCTGTGTAATAATAAATTGTAAGGCCAGTGTAATTGTGTTGCATCTTTAGAATCTGAAATATAAATTATATCATCTTTGTATATTCTGAATTAACAGATAAAAAATTTTAACAGTAGTTGAATCTGAAACACACTTATCCTATGGCAATATTTACCATGATCCAGAAAATTGAAAGTTTTCTCTCTGCTCTAGCATTTATATAGTATAAGGCTTTATATCCATTAAGTGAGTAAAATATGTACTAAAAACCCCTTACCCGCATAATATAGCCTTAATACTTAGGCTATATTATATATTCACTCATTTCTTCAACAGATATGGAGAATTGAAAAAGCACTGTGAAAGTTACAACAGTAATTAAGATGTACTACAGATGCCCAAGAATTGTGTAATAGAGGGCAGTGAGGAAGTGTATACAGAGATTATAATATAGGGCAGCAGGTGTTGGGAAGAGAATCAAAAACAAGGTGTTATATGAGTTCAACTTTTTGATGGAAGAATCAGGGAACACTTTAAGCAAGAATTGGAATTTACAATAGGTTTTGAAGAATGGAGGAGGGTTTTATAGAAGAAGGTATACCAGGTAGAGGACATGTATAAACAGAGTCATAGATATGTAGAAAATACTTGGTGAAGGGAAGTAGTGGGAACCTGAAAAAGGTAGGTTGACCCCAGAGCTTGGAGGTGTTGAATAAGAGCCCATAGCAGGATTTTGACTTAGAAGTGGCATGCACTTTGTTGAAATTTGGGAACATAGCTCTGGCAGGGCTGTATTAGAATAATTATAGAGTGAAAAGGCTGGAGGTGGAACACCAATCGGTATATTTGTAAAGTAGTCCAAACAAGAGTTAATGAAATTCTGAATAAAGATGCTGATAATGGGAATAAACAGGAAGCAGCTGACTCAAAGTCTATTCAGAGAAGGGAAAGAATTTGTTCCCTGTTAAATGCACTTTGAAACCATTACCAGCCATTGCCACTTAGCAGGGGTGCAGTGTATGAAATTCGTTCCAATTAAAGGATCACCCTTTATTTAAGAATATTACAGCTTCTCTGAAAATGTGAAATCATAGGAACTACTTTTTCATTTGGGCAACAGATAACTAACCCACAGATTCAGTATTCATAAGAATTCTCCTTAAAGCAAACTACAAATCTGAATAGTGTTCTAAGAATTATGAGAGAAGAATGTGGAAATGGACATTAAAAATAGCTATCATCTTGGCTCAAAGAATGCAAAGCACAACTCAGTGGTGAGCTTTGGGAGTGATACAATGCAATAAACTTCTTTCCGATTTTTGCTTACCATTTATGAGGGAAAATACAGAAGATAGCAGCCAAAATAAAAATAAAGATTATCTTAAAGTCCTTAAATTTTATAGTTCTGAAGGGACCTGACACATCCTCTGGTCCAGATCTGTAATTTTACAGAAGGAGATAATAGGTCCCTTAAATGTTGAATAATTTTCCATTCTTACAGTTGCTTAACAGCTGACTTGACAACAGAGCCTTGGCCTCCAACTCTTGGCCACACATCTCATTTCTACACTGGAAGAACAGTATCAGTGCTCTAAATTTTTGCTACTCAAAGTGCTTCAGCAGGATCAGTGTCTCCTGGGAGCTTGTTAGAAATGCAGAATATCAGGGCTCGCACCCAAACCTGCTGCATGAAATCAGATTTTAATGAGACCCTCAGGTGGTTCATATACATGTTAAAGTATGAGAATCACTGCTCACAGTGGTGCCGTTGCCCCTGGCGTATTCCACCTCTAAGAGCTGTGTGTTAGTGTTAGATGGAAATTGCCTCGCCACACTCGGTTCCCTTATGCCTAATCTGAGACCACCGCCACCACATCGTGTGGACCCATTCAACATCTCAGCTTCCAGTGCACTCAATTCTACTTCTTTGCCTATTGACTGTGAATCTGTAACTCTCCAGGAAAACTAGTGAATTAAAGGAAATCAATATTCAACCAATATTCATAAATAGCTTATATCATCACCCAAATTTCTGAGCCTGAAAAGAACTAGAGATTTGTTATTTAAAAAAAAAAAATCCAGTAGAAATACTTTCATTTTGATCATTGGCAAGTCATTGAATAACCTTACATTTTAATCTCATAATGATATATATTTGGATATCTGATTCCCAAAAGAAAATTCGACAATACTGGTTTTCTTTTGAGGCTTGTGAAACAGAATACTTAGATAAGTTCTTAGAATTATGAAGGAAATGTTAGAGTATCATTATTCCCCCTGAAAGTAGTTCTCAGTCACTTAAATATAAAACAGTAACTTGCAGTATTACACCAAGATCAGTTTATTTTAAAGGTAGAACTGAATGGGTATTTGATTCAGATTCTCAATTTCAAAATCTGTATTTAACACAGTAAGGCACTATGCTCACTTGTCTGTGAGCATTAAGTCAGCTCATCTCATTATACCACAGGGTGGCCATATTCTCTAATCTTTCTGAATCCAGAAAATAGTGAAAGGGATTGAATTCATTTGCCAGTAAAAAGTTTTGAATACTCTTTATTAACATACTTACTGCTGTTATTTAACTTGTATGGTTATTTGTTATTACTATTAATTCTCATAAATAATAATAATTCAAACCCAAGAATTAGACAGACATATAATTTAGAACATTGAAGCACTTTTAAGTAGAGGCTTTCATATGACTTAACATTGGAAATATATTTGTTTTCTGAAAAATACGAACATCTGGCTTTGCATCGGGCACCATGGAAAGATACATCCACCTTGCTCTCAAGTGAGCTTGAGGTGGTCTAACACATTAATCTAAAGAGGCACCTTCTGCCTTCTGCCTTCTTAAAGTGAATGAGTTCTACAGTTGTAATTTCCTATCTGGAACCTTAAATTTCTAGGGAATAAAGGTTACTGTCAAGATTCAAGTGACTACTTCTTTTGTTTAAAGCAGAATTTCTTAAAACCCAGGGCAGCCAAGTTTCCATTTTCTATTACTAGACTTTTTTTTTTTTTTAAGATGTTGGGGGTAGGAGTTTATTAATTAATTTATTTATTTTTGCTGTGTTGGGTCTTCGTTTCTGTGCGAGGGCTTTCTCTAGTTGTGGCAAGCAGGGGCGACTCTGCATCGCAGTGCACAGGCCTCTCACTATCGCGGCCTCTCTTGTTGCGGAGCACAGGCTCCAGATGCGCAGGCTCAGTAGTTGTGGCTCACGGGCCTAGTTGCTCCGTGGCATGTGGGATCCTCCCAGACCAGGGCTCGAACCCGTGCCCCTGCATTAGCAGGCAGATTCTCAACCACTGCGCCACCAGGGAAGCCCTATTACTAGACTTTTTAAATGGTTGACGTTTAAGCTGGGATCTCATGGGATCTCAAAGTTAGAATCTTTTTATTCTTCCAAGGGACACATGGTACTCAGTATAGAACTGAGGTTAGTGAGAAGAGGTGAAGTTAGGGAGAAAAGAATCCACTACCTTATTTAATAGCAGTGATTAGGTAAGGACTTAATAACACATGTTCCCTCCAGAATTGTTGGTCAATATTTTTGCCAATGTACCCTGAAAAAAAAATTTTTTTAATATGTACTTCTTGCACATTTTTAGGTTGACATCTAAAACATTTCATCATAAATATAAATAGTTGCAAAGGATATTGTAATGATAACCAGTATATTATAAATATGGACATTTAAAACTAAAACTGTTACTTTAATATATTTTTATAATTGTAAACCTTTTATTGCTCTCCTATCATATTAAATTACTACAAAAGCATGTACATAACTTTACAAAGTTCTTCTGGATTGAGTTGTTACTACAGTCATTAATATACTACTATTAAAAATAACATAAATATATTATAAATTTTGACAAATAAGTATAAAAGTTAAGTTTTGCTGACAATGCATTTCTTGATACCATGAATCAATATCTAATGTTTCTCTATACATTTAATGAAAAAGAAGGTAGATGTAGTCAAAAATAATTGATCTGTACATAGGATCTTACTTACTTTTTATTAGTAGGATGTAGAAAATATTAAACATTTTATGATGAAATAAGATGAGGATTTTACTGTATTATAATAAACATTTGAAACAGTATCTGGTAAAAAATTGTTTTAACTACTTCATAGAATAATAAGTGCCAAGTGGAAAGATGTCATAGAAAGTTTATCTATTATATCTCCAAAATTTTGATAGTCTAAGAAGACATTCTAATTACATTTAAAATAATTAATGACACTAACCTACACTGCTTTGCTATTTAAAGTTTCTTTTCTTTTCAGATAAGGAAGTGTCCTGGGGACAAATATCAAGAAGGCCTGAGACGCTTCCCTGGTGGTGCAGTGCTTAAGAATCTGCCTGCCAATGCAGGGAACACGGGTTCGAGCCCTGGCCCAGGAAGATCCCACATGCCACGGAGCAACTAAGCCCGTGTGCCACAACTACTGAGCCTGCACTCTACAGCCCTTGAGCCACAACTACTGAGCCCACATGCCTAAAGCCCGTGCTCCGCAGCAAGAGAAGCCACCACAATGAGAAGCACACGCACTGCAACGAAGAGTAGCCCCCGCTTGCCTCAACTAGAGAAAGCCCGTGCATAGCAACGAAGACCCAACACAGCCAAAATAAATAATTTATTTATTTATCTTTTTTTTTTTTAAAAAAAGAAGACCTGAAAAGAGCTGCTTATATTTAAATGCATTGCAGGAAGGGGAATTTTTAACAGTCAGCCTTTCTTACTAGTGTTATTTTCGCCTTGCTTTCATAAGACTGTCGTCCAAATGCATACTTTGACAAAGCCAAGGCATAAAAAAAAGAGACCCATCAGTCCAAAATTGTCTAATTCCCATGGCTACAATCTACTTGTATGTGAGCTCAGAAAATCCTAGCGTGGACTAAAATATCATTTCTAGCATGACACTTTATTTCAACAGGAATATTTATAAGTTAGGGAAATCCAGGAAGCTCTATGAACTTAAGATCATCAACCCCTTCAAGTACCCCTGGGGTACACATACTCCATGTTAAAGGCCACTGTTCTAACTTAGCAAGTCAAGTCAACCAGAATCTTGTTTGCATTGAAGCATTAGACCTTCTGGGCATAACTTAGTATGGTACCTCAGGTCAGAGGGTTGGACTCCCAGACCTCAGATCCAAGACAGAGGCTGGGCTCCCCTCCCTGGGCCTGCCTCCACCCAAGAGTTCCCAATGTCAAGGAGAGGACCTGAGAGCAACCTCCTGCCTCTTCTGGTCATGAGCCCAGATCACAGAAGAGGAAATTTCTGAGTGCAGCATCAGTGGGGTCCTTGTGGTTCTCTGCGACCATGTCCCCATGGAACTCTTAATATACTGTTAACCGGAGAGACCCCAGAACCGACCAAGCCCATCCACTTTATGCAGTGTAAGGCAGACCTGCAATCACCAAGAAGAAAAAGTTCTCCTTCAATATCCAGCTGGCAGCAGTAGGAGAAGCAGTGAAGAGAAATGTGAGACACAAAGATCAAGTTTGGGGTCAGGGAGGGCTTAAATTCTTTGTAACTACATGGTTGAAACTCTGAGCCAATAATTGTTAATGTCGTCAAATTCTCGATATGTACATTACATTAACTTGGGGAAAAGAGATTATACTTGTGTTTACCATTTGTGCCCTGGACACAGTATATTGGTAGGGAAAGGTGGCCCTATTTGATGGAAAGAGATATTTTTCCATGTTTTGATTTTATTATTTATGATCAAATATAGTCATACAACCAATATGAGAATTTATTTTGCTTATGTATTAAAGGCCCTTGAAAATGTTTGTCAAAACATCTGTAATTTGATGTTTTAAACTGGTAATAATGCATTTCAATAGTATATATATATAGAATCTATATTGCTATTCCTACTTTAATTACCGATGTCCCAAATGTTTCTAATACTAACTTAATAGGTGCACTCTTTAATTATCAATGGCCCCCAGATGCCCAGAGTCTCTGCAACCATCCAGCCCCTCCAGGACTGGGACAGATGTTGGAAAGACACCAGAAAGGGTGAGCATCTGGCTGGGTCTGAGGGCATGTGACCTGACTGAATATATGATCCTGACTGTATTTCAACCACAACATCTTTAGGAACTGTCCATTTATTTATTTTTGTTGTTTACGCCTCTTCTGACCTTCCTTAGTGTAAAAGCAGCTAAACTTTTAACGAAGAAATTGTATATTCATACAGTATTGAAACTCAGTCATTAAACGTTTAATACAAACCTTACTCTAAATGTAATATCATGAGTTTCAGGACAGCTCTTCTTGTAAAGGTTCTGAACTTTCCTGAAAATATGATGAGAATGTTGTCTCAGCAGTTTTCCTTGGCTGCCTTTGGATTTAGTCCTAGTACTTCTGAGGGAATAATTTACCTCAGATCTTCTAACTTATCTAAATGTGTGTAAAAATGAGGCTATTATACTCCTTGAGTTAACGCAGGTTAGGATCAGGGTCTCGTTGCAGGTTAGATTGAGGGGTTTTCGTTCATCACCAAAAAGGCATGAATAAAAAAGCATGGAGTCCTCCTTTCCTGGTGAAAGAGGAGGTCTTCACAGGCATCAGGCTTATGCCCACACTTTGTGTCCCTGGTTTAAAAGCAGAAAGTAGATTTCCAGTGTAAAATGGCGTGGCATCTAACAGGCCTTGATGCAACCCCTTCCAATATCCCATTAAAAGCCCTGTGATGGAAAAGGAAATGTCACATACGCACAGCACACAGACAACCAAGTCACAGCGAGAGCCTGGCCCCCCATTGCTGTGCCACATGGGTGCTGCCCCTCAAGGCACCCAAGCTACTTTGCTGGGAACATTCTGAGATGGCCATTCCTAAAAGAAAAGAGGAATCGTGTCTGAGTGGTGGTGAGGAGGGAAAGATGGGCAGTGATGCACTATACCCTAGGAAGTGGGATTCTCTCAAATAGCAGTAGATCAGCATAACAGAGGCTGAGCAGCCAGGTAGAGAAATACACCTGACGGTACTTGTAGGGGGAGTAGTAGCAGCAGTAACAACAGTTTAGTACTAGTAGTAGCAGTAGCAGTAGCAGTAGCAATAATAAAGAAAATGATAATAGCAGATATTTATTGTTTATCATGGGCAATGTACAATACTAAGGGCTTTAAAAGTATTTCATTTAATGCTCCGAGAAACCCCGTGAGGTTGACATATTTATTAGCTTCCTTTTACAGATGATAAAACTGAGGCATAGAGAGGTTAAGCAGCTCACCCAAGTTACACAGCTAGGAAGTGACAATGCCTGGACTGGCAAATAGGCACTGTAAGCTGAAAACTGGGCCAGAGACCAGGTACATCACCTTCCCCCCGACTCCCAAGTTTTGTCTCTGAGAAGGGATGTTACCCTCATTCCAGAGCAAACTTGAGAGATGTCTCTGTAACCTATCTGTTGAAATAAAGATCTAGCTTCATTTGAGAGTGGGCAATCAAGAAGGAAGGCAGAAAAGAAGGAAGGAAGGAAGAAACAGCTTAGAAGATATGAAAAAAGCATTACAGAACAAAGGAAAGAAAGTAGCATATAGGAAATAACAAAACAGACCTAAGAAAAGATCTACTGCACAATCTTTTGAGGCCCCTCTAGGAAGTGATTTGGCATCCTGTAGAAGCAAAATATTATAGGCCTCACATTTCTTTTTTTAAAATATGTCATTTTCTATATTAAGTCTTTAGGTCCTGTGCTTCCTGATTTATTTCTAGAATATGGTGTCCTAGCTATAGCCTTAAAAAAGCAGTTTCTTTTAAACACAGACAAAGGAGAAAAAGAGTATTAAGACTGGTACAGAAGGAGAGAGAAATAACAAATTATACAGCTGTTCACAAGATAAAACTCTCCAGATAAAGATAAAGGTCAAAATTTATAAGAATAAAAACATGTTCTACATTTAGTAATCATAAAAGTGCTCCTAAAAATTGTCTATAAAAGTCCATTTTTGAGACATAGATCTTCAAAAGTTAAAGTTTCTTTTAACTTTAAATAAAGTTAATATAAAACAGAAGGCCTTGATGCAGCCCCTTCCGATATCCCATTAAAAGCCCTGTTATGGGAAACATTGGTCTCTGATAAGCTGAATGGTCTCTGATATGCTGAACTACTACTGTACTTGAGATAGTTGAAATTAAAGCCTTTTGTTCTCAAAAGTCATTTATGCTCTTTTTTCATTGTTAACAGTATGAAATTATAGAGTGAATGAACATTTTAGAGTGTGTATGGACTCCCATTGTTTTGTTTTGGAGCAAAGTATCTTAAGACTCTGTCTTTGCTCTTCTTCCTTTGATGTATTTCTACCATCTTATTATGTGCTTTCCACTCTCTCTCTTTTTTTCTTACTTGTCGTCTTCTGAATAGATTTTCTTTTTTCGTTTCTTTTTCTTATTCCCACCATTACGCCCTACTTCTGTCCCTTTGGAAGTAATTCTCTCTACAACTATTTTTAGGAGTTACCCAGACATTTTTTTAAAATATTTTATTTTATTTTATTTTTTAATTTTTGGCTGCATCAGGTCTTCATTGTGGCATACAGGCTTCTCTCTACTTGTGATGTGCGGGTTTTCTCTCTCTGGTTGTGGTGTGTGGGCTCCAGAGCTCTCAGGTTCTGCAGTTTGCAGCACGTGGGCTGTCTTGCTGAGGCATGCGAGCTCAGTAGCTGTGGTGCACAGGCTTAGTTCCCCCGTGGCATGTGGGATCTTAGTTCCTCGACCAGGGATCGAACCCGCATCCCCTGCATTGGAAGGCAGATTCTTTACCACTGGACCACCAGGGAAGTCCCAGGAGTTACCCAGACATTTTAACATGCTTACTTAATCTCTTGATGCTTCACCCAAACAATACAAGTACCTTACAATATTATAACTACAACTTTCACAGTGTTCCAATTTATATTATATTTTGACCATATTTGAATTCTATCTTGTTTGTTTAACCTCACAAATTAGACATGACTATTATTGTTATATGTAGTCAATGTTCGTCAATTTCTTTGCTCACCATTTGTTCTTGCATCTCAGACTTTCCTCCATTTGGCCTCATAATCTTTCTGCATAAAGCAGTTTTCCATTCTAAAAGTTTTACTCAATTTTTCTCCAATCTGCTAGATTTTTTTTAAAAATTCTCTTATTCCTAGTTCACAAACTTCATTTCTTTAAACATACCAAACATGCTTATTTTATATTGTGTCTGATCGTCTTTACAGATCTGATTTTTCTGCCTGTTTCTGCTGGTTCTCGCTCATGGTGATTTATTTTCTTGTGTGGGGTGGGGGGAAGGGCAGAATATGCCTATGTGTGTTTTTATGTGAGCTTAAGTTCCTTGGAACTTTTATCTATAGGAATTCTTTGAGACCTGGGTACAGACTGCATTCTTCCATAAAAGATTTGCCTTTGCTCTTGATTATACAAACATTCTTGGAGCACTTATATTAAAATTCTCTTCTTTCAATTTTTCAGATGCAGATAAAATAAATTCATACAAAAAGCCACATGAGGGCCAGGCTGCAGGTACAGATTCTCAGGTGAGAATTCATCCCACTCTCCTCCAGCATAAAGATCAAATCAAGATGCATGGCTGTCTCCTGCATAGCAGGTTATTTTTTACTCATCCTTTGAACTGATGGTAAAGCCCTTTGAGATTCCAACTTTATCTGAGAGTCTCCTATAAAACTTCCAATTTTGCATGGGCCCAAGGCTTCATCTCCTCCCCTCCACTATCAAACATTTTCCAAAAAGTTCAAGGTTTCCAGGTTTTGGCAGAAATATTGAGAGAGCTGGCTTTGGCTCTCCTCTCCCGAAGTCGCTACTTCTGTCTTGTTTTTGATTTCTGCAGATTCCTTACTTCTGTGCCATCTGTTGATGCCTTTAAAAAGTGTTTTCTTTGTTATTTTGTCTAGCATTCTGGTTGTTTTCACTGGGTAAATCTTTTAGCATATCTAGTTCAGCAAACTAAAGGCAGTAAATATTCTGTGGCGATGGGGGGACATCCCTTCCCCACAGTATATGTGCTGAATTGAAGACCTCTATAAAGCACTGTGTCAGAAGAATACAGAGGTCTGGGAACCAAAGGATAGAAACAAAAGTGGCCTCATTTACCATTATTCCAATGACCACCTTTCTCTTTTTTTGTAATATAAGAAGTTAAAGCTAGAAATTTCCTCCAGTCATCTGCTTCTGGGAGAAGCAAATCCATATAGTGTTTAATGTAGAATATATTTTTCTGTTTGGAAAATACCCAGGATATATTTTATTTATTTTGATTTTTTGGTTATTTTTAGTCCATAGCAAATTAGAACAAACATTGCTCTCTAAAATTAATCCTGAAAAGAAATGCTGATTTTTAAGTAAAATTATCCATACTTTTTAACTTTATGTTATTTCTCTTCATTCATTCATTCAACAAAGATTTATTAAGCTCTTTGTGCTAATCACTATGCTGAGGTGATAAATTAAGAAACATCTGTACCAGATAGTTAATTTCTTGCATTAAATACTGTAAAAAGAGAGGAAGATGAAAACCTGCTTTTCTGCAGATAACAAGTCAGTGTTTGACCACAAAGCATTGGTTACCTGATTTCAAATTGCTTCTAAACAATTCTCCAACAAATTTTGAATGAACCCCAGGAGCTCCAATGACTGTGTCATTAATAAACTGTTGAACTCATAATTATTTACAAAGAAATGGATCAAAAAAGAAATTTCTTTAAGAGGTGAAGAACATAAGTTACATATTGCCTGTTGAATGAATTCTCCACTAATTCATTCAGTATAGATTCATGGCTTCAGGAAAAGAAGAATATAAAAAATACGTTTAATCAAAAAAGCCTAGATTAAGACAAAAATTAGTAACAGCATCCCTCACTTTGGAGGCATTTCCAAACTCTGTTTCACTTACTATCACCATTGGCCAAGGGCATGCACCATCTCATTTGCTTTTCCCCCACGGTGCACATGGCAAAGGCCTGGACATGCTACCTATTCGCTGGGCTGGGTGAGAGTATTAGCAGAGCTCTCCTGCTTACCCCAAACAATCTGTGACTGTGCAGCCTGTATTTCTCATTCAAAGTAAATTCCATGTTAGTCTGTACAGAAACACCTTTTGAAGTCATGAAAAGCATGGCAGAGTTGAAAGAAGTGATGATCTAAGTGGTCTTTGTTTGGCATTGGGATCAAACACTACATTTGTTATCCAAAAAACGAGAGTATTTTGACCTTTATCTCTTTATACAGCATTTAGGCAAGAAATGGACTGTGTAAAGATATTTTATTATACTCTGCTCCTTCCTGAGCTGGATAGTTTTTATGTCATGACATCAGTTTTCCTTACTTACAATTATCCCTTAATCTCTTACGTCAATAACATATTCACACATATTGAGTCTCCTTCTGTAATTAGCATTGACTGAATTCCATACCTAATGCCTAAGTAACTACCTGGGGTATGGTTTAAGAAGACAACTCTGAACTGCCTGCATCTGCTGCTACGTCATGCCTGGGAGAAACAGACTCTCCCTTATTGATCTACGAATAATTTAAGAAGAATGAAAATCAGAGTTTATCAAGTTCATGTTACTATCTTTATGTATTGGCATTTGGAAAAGTCTCTAGTCATGGTTTTTCATTATCACTATGGCTTTTAAACCTCCAATATAGTCATTTTGGCAAATGAATGAACATCAGCAACTGCATGAGAACAATGGCCTCACTTTGTGGTGTGATGTGGGGAAAATATTTTTTAATTTTCTAACGTGCTGGGCAACGAGTCTGACTCATAGAGATAGTAATTATACCTCTTTTCTAAAGTGAAGCAGCAGAGAGAGAACATACTAAAATTAATGAAGAAAGCAAGACTTAGGTTCATTTTTTTAGGTTCATTTTTTTCTATCTGGAGAATTCATGATCCTGAGAGGTTTTTAAAATGAATCATTGCTTTGTGAAGTATAGCTCAGGAGCAGATATTTGTCTTTGTGTCAAAAACAAGGACTCTTAACAAATTGAATCTCTTCCTACCTTTAGATAATTCAAGAAAGATAAAATCTTGAGGGCTTTATAGTACTGAGCAGGGATAAAGCCTTCTTACAGACTGGAACAAAATTCTTACCAATTTCAACTGGCAGATAAAAATGTATTTCAGAACTGATTTTCACATAAAGAACTTTATAATATTAGAACACTCCATGCAGTCAGGGTGGTTGGTAATTGTAAACATACTACATTATGTGAAAATGAAAGCTGATTGATTCTTGTGGAGCATGCATTAGTGATAGCGTGAATCAGAACAAGAAACATTTTCTCATTCCTTAAGAGGTGAGAGTAAGGTGGGAGGAGGGGTGGGGAGAGGGTTGGTTTGACAGTGAGGTACTATGACAAAGACCAGCTGAAAACAAGGGCAAAAATTGCAAGGTAGGTGCGCTTTAATTTGAATTGCAAAGGGCAAGTGTATGACCTTGAATATTTGCTCCATGCCTGATTCAGCACCTGTGGCTCACAGATATGGATGTAAAATAGTTCCAAGTCCAATTCAACTCAGTAGAAGATTGTGTTCTCTCTCTCTCTCTCTCTCTCTCTCTCTCTCTCTCTCTCTCTCATTTTTGGAATGTGATATAAAACAATAAAACAGAGATTGACAAAAAAAGACATTGCTAGGAATTAATTTGCGAAGAAAAGTTCTAAAGACTACCTGCCAGTCACCCTAGCTCCTGACATTCCTGCATGTCCTTAAATCATCCTCCAACTGCTGATGACAGCTTCCCTCCCAAGCCCCTTTCTAGATGCTGTTTATTCAGCTATTGTAAACTGACCAGGTTGCAACAGAAGAGCACCCACTTGTACACAGTGGCATGTCGTGCGTCACTTTGCAGTCAGCACTGCCTCATACTGAAGATTTGTCTGTGGTTTCCTTGGGCACCAAACAGAAAATAAGCAAACAAACAAAAGCTACCTGAGATCAGATCTTGCCATTGGCTGTGGAGAAGGACAAGTTATCACAGACGTCTATCCCCTAAGCAGGTCATCATGTAAAGGGATATGGGAGCAAGAACAGCATAAGCCTGAACTTACAGCCAGGAAAGTACTTGTGGGTAGAATGTAGATCACTGAGCTCATTCATTCTTTTCACTGACATCTACAACTACAGGGAGTGTAAACTACAGGGAGTGTAAGAATCCACTGTGTTATGGACTGAATTGTGTTCTCCCCAACCCTAAATTCATATGTTGAAGCCCCAATTTCAATTATAACAGGATTTGGAGACTGCAAAAAAGAAATGGGGACATAAGGGTGGGACCCTAATTCAATAGGACTGTATCCTTATAAGAAGAGGAGGAGGGCTTCCCTGGTGGCGCAGTGGTTGAGAGTCCGCCTACCGATGCAGGGGACACGGGTTCGTGCCCCAGTCCAGGAAGATCCCACATGCCATGGAGTGGCTGGGCCCCTGAGCCATGGCCGCTGAGCCTGCGCGTCTGGAGCGTGTGCTCCGCAATGGGATAGGCCACGACAGTGAGAGGCCCGCGTACCGCAAGAAAAAAAAAAAGAAGAAGAGGAGGAGACACCAGGAATGTGCATGCATGGAGGAAAGACCATGTGAGGACACAGTGAGAAGACTTGCCATCTGCAAGCCAAGGAGAGGGGCCTCAGAAGAAGCCAAACCTGCCAACGCCTTGTTCTTGGACTTTCAGCCTCTAGAACTGTGAGAAAATAAGTTTCTGTGGTTTAAGTCACCCCGCTGTTATGGCAGCCTGAGTAAACCAAGAATCGGGGTGGTCTACAGGCATAGTGCCATCCCAGGGCATCCCGTTGCTGCCCTGAGTTGCAGCCCAGAAGCATGGAGATAGCCAGAACTCCAGGAAAGCCTGATGCACACACCAAATTTGGCTTCTCTGTCAATTCTTGTCTCTCTTGTGCATTATACTGATAGAAAAAGGAATAGAAGGACCATCCGTTAAATTCCATGTGCTGGACACTGCCCTGAGGATGCAAAAGTGACTCACACAGCTGCTTCCCTTAAGGAACTCATCATCTGGAGAAAGCCAAAGGCAAGATGAGTCAGTACTTCGATATAGGTATAGAGAAGGGCTTTGGAAAACAGGAATGACTAATTTTAATTTAGGACATGGAATTATGGGAAGGACAGGAAGGATCCGGAAAGGCTTCACAAAGAGGGAGTTTAAGGAGAAATGTTTTTGTATCCACTGCTCTCTAACCACTTCAAACTCAGTGGCATAAAACAATCACCATTTTATCATGCTCAGGAAGTCTGTGGGTCAGGAGTTTGGATGAGACACAGTTTGGACAGCCTGTCTCTGCTCCATAGTGTCTGGACCCCAGTTGGCTAGCAGTGACTCAAACAACAGGGGGCTGGAAGCATCCGCTTCCAAGGTGGCTCTTCACTCATGTGCCTGGCGCCTGGAATGAAGGACAGGTTCAGCCGGAATGCCGACCAGAGCACCCTAGATGCCCTCTCCAGAATGGCAGCCACTGCACTTCAGGGCATCAGTATCAAGTACCCTCAGCGCATGTGGCAGAAACTGCATGGCTTTTTATGACAGCCTCGGAAGTCACAGAACATCGTTGCCACTATGCCCGTTGGTTGAAGCAGTCCCACTTAAAGGGAGGAGACACAGACCCCACCTCTCTTAAGAAGGAGCAATCAAATATTTGCTACCATGTTTTAAAACTGCCATATGGACCCTAAAGCATGAATAGGATTTCAATGAACCTCATGCACTGAAGCTCTATTGCCTAAAATGTTTTTTTTCTGATTTTACATGAATGCACATTCATTACTTAAAAGAAATGAAAATTATGGAAAAATAAAAAGAAACTTCCTCATTACTTCACCAGGCAAGCTATATGACTGGACCTGAGCTAGGAATTAGAGCTATAACTTTAAGTAAGACATAGTTCTTACCTCAGAGGGTTTCCTACTAAACCATGAAGAGATAACCACTGCTAATATGTTGATGCAGTCCTTCCCAATTTGAATAAAATGGGTTGAGATGATTCCGTACTTACAGGTTTGTGTCCTGGTTTTTTTACACCTGGTACACAAGATAGTGTGAGTTTCCTCATAGCATTAAATATTCCACAAAACTGATTTTGAATGGGTGTATCACAAATCATCATATGAACAGACCATTGTTTATTTCCCTGCTGCTAGACATTTAAGTTGTCTTCAAGTTTGAGCTACTACAAAATAATAATGTAAAAAATATGCTTAGTCATGTTTCTGCTTCTCTGAAATTTTTCTTAGGATAAAGTCCTCAATTAGTTGAATTACTATTTCAGAAAGAAAGAATGTTTTAAAAGCTCTTGATTATGGTTTTGCAAATTTGGTTTGCAAAAATATTGTCCCAGTTTGCATTTCCCTAGTGTGTGTTTGAGGAGCATCAAGGAGCAGAACACGTGGGAAGCAAGTCTGTTCCCCAGGTACAGGGTGGAAAGATTTGGCCCAGTCTGAACTGAGTAAAAGAATACTGCAAGAAACCAAAAGGCAGGTTAGAAACCATAGTCAGCTAATAACCAGCATGGGCTTGGCAACTAAAGAGGTGGATGCTGGGAGATGATTACTATGGAGTCTGGGTAAATGAAAAGACTTCCCTGGCTTCAACTTTGGGGCAACATTCTGAAACCAAGTGTGACTTAAGGGATGCTCAGAAACCCAGGTTCATTGTGCGTGTGAATTAGGGCTCCTTGGGAGGTAAGCAACAGAAACCAACCCTGGCTAATCTACACCAAAAGGGAATTTACTGGAAAAACAGCTAATTTCTCAATGGCTAGGAAACCAGGCTCAGAAACCAGGACAAAATGGACAGGAACTGAGGAACTTCATGGGCAGGAAGCAGCACAGAATCAAGGGTCTAAGACACAAGAATCCCTCACCAGTGTCACCTGGGCACACTGCTGTGAATAAGGAATGACCTCCAATTGGATTCTGCCTTTTGATGACTTTGCTCCAATTTCGGATTCCAGGGAAGGCAGATCTGACTAACCTCAAAAATTTTGAGTGTCTGACCTTGGGCCAGGGACAGGCACGCACCTCGACTAACAGCTTCCGGTATGTGGAAGAAGTAATTCCCAGAGGTGACTCAGGGCACAGCCAGCCCAAACCAAAAGTTATCTACCATACCACTTTACCTGGCAGGGGAAGTACACTAATACTTAACCAGCGTTAATCTCTGAGCCCAGAGTCACTTACCAGACTGAGCCCCTGCCTCCCCGCCCTGCCATGCTCCCACCAAAGTAGGGTTCTGTGGAAATGAAAAGAGACTCAGGGACTGTCAGGCTTTGATGAGACATGGATGAGAAATACTAAATTTGAGCCGCAGTGTATGAGGCACTGTGCTGGAAGTCAGCATGAACAACCAATTACAGTAAATCCCGCTTTAACTTGAACAGAGTTTTAGCCTCTTCCCCTCCCCGCTCCTTTCTCATCTGGAACACTGGGCTTTGACTGATTAAAAGCAACCAGGGAGGGCTTCCCTGGTGGCGCAGTGGTTGAGAGTCCGCCTGCCGATGCAGGGGACACGGGTTCGTGCCCCGGTCGAGGAAGATCCCACATGCCGCGGAGCGGCTGGGCCCGTGAGCCATGGCCACTGAGCCTGCGCGTCCAGAGCCTGTGCTCCGCAACGGGAGAGGCCACAGCAGTGAGAGGCCCGCGTACCGCAAAAAAAAAAAAAAAAAGCAACCGGGGAGCAAGTGGACTGGAAGGAATCTTGACAGAGGGCCAAAGCCAGGAACCACACGCTGCCTTCTGCTTGGCTGGAGTCCCCTCCTCCGCCTGGTGAGCCGATGCGGAACAGAGCAGCCAGAAGATACTGTCGCCTGGCTCTGTTGGGGGGATACTGGACACGGGTCAGGACATGGGCTAACTTTAGGAGGCTGGCTCTCCCCAAGAGCTCTCCCCCTTAGGGCAGTATCTCCCAGCCTTGTCTTTCCCTGCGAGCTGATGGGAGTTACTCCTCATTCCGGGGTATGAACAGGGTCATCAGCCCTGAAGGTGCATCTTGTACTTGGGAACCGGAAGAAGAGACCAGATTGCCCTGTCAGATACCCCATCATTCAGCCAGGCAGTGACAGAACAAAAAGAGGGCGGTTAAATCTCAGGCACAGAAGCAAGGTGACAAAGATTCATTGCACTTGGGGGACACAGAAAGTCACAGGGGCAGGGAGGTGCTCCTAGGATGAGAGAGTGTCCTAAAGGGGAAGGAGGGCCCACTGGGACAGGAGGGTGGTCAGCAAATGGCAGCTCTGCCCTTTCAGGGAAGAGGGCAGCAGCCCTGGTCTCAGCTTCCCATCGTTTCTCTTATTAGGAGAATCATCATGGGATGCTGCAGAGTAAGATATTCCCTCTGGTGATCAGGACTATAGTTAATTAATTGCTCCCTTGGGAAGTGGGTGTTGGGGCACAAGGTGGGGAGAAGGGTCCTGCATTGGCTGCCAGAGTCTACGTCTGCCTTCAAGGGCACGTTCTAGAAACAATTACAGGACCTTCACATCCGCAGGGCTGCGGCAAGATCCCAACACCTCCCTAGAAAGACCTTCCAGCACCATGGAGGGGACTGGGCATGTGGCCGTTGTTCCAGACCCCTTGCTGAGCAGGGGAGGGTGGCCTTATCATCAGGGGCCAGGGTCAGAGCAGGACGGAGAGGGCAGGAGGGGCTGTGGTGGCCCCAGCACATGCAGAAGTGAGAAACTGCCTGGCCATACAATGTGTAAAGACACTAACAACGTTCTGATTTTTCCCATGATGAACACTTCAATATTTTTTTCTGAAATATGAAATTATTTCCAATTCTTTCCTCCCATTTTCCAGGGCTTTGTCTGCTTAGTGTGCTTTGGGGTAACTAAGTGCTGGGTGTGGCCCCATGAGGCCCAAACAGAGGGACTTTGCTAACTGTGTGGAGGCAGCCTGCATGCATCACAGCAAGAACTGAGTCTAGACGTGCAGCGCTCCCTGCCTGGAATCTGTGAGTCACCCGGCTGCTTTCCCGAGGAAGAGAATGTCTGTCCCGGCCAGCTCTGCCCTCCCCCGGGCTGCTCCAGGGGAGCCCCTCAGCCCCATCTGGGGGCAAGGCTGAGGGACTGAGAGCAGGGAAGAGTCTGCAGGGCTATCCAGGGTGGACTGTCACCCCAGAACTGATCTGTGCCCATAGCCTCCTTCTCCTCTGGGCCCCTCAGTCCTGGTCAGAGGGTCCCCGCATCGCGGGTGCGGCCACCTTGCCCTCACCCAGATCCCACGTCCCCTTCAGTACCTATTTTGCAGACTCGTCCTTAGAAGTACAAAATCTTCCTTCAGCACCTGTGCATCAGGGCAGAAACTGTATTTCATGTCATTCTTGCCCTTGTTCCCATGTTTGCTCCTGATGCAACAGGGCCTTGCTAAGTCCAACTGCATCTCAGCAGAGTTTCTCTTTCAGTGTCAGAGAGGAGCGTGTGGTATCGACAACCTGTTTATTGCCTCCAATCTTTGATTTTCTCATCAGAGGCCCCCAGCTGGCTCCCCACATCTGAAGGCAGCCAACAGAAATCAAAGGTGAGAGCAGTCAGGTGGTTATCACTATTGCAGGCAGACGTCCTCTCAGCAGCTGTGCTAACATGCGCTGCCCCAAACCTCAGGCCTTTCCTCAGCTGTCCCGCCTCTGCAGCTCTGCAGGCCTCACTCCCCCTCTCCCCACCCCCCAACTCTCCCCACCCCCAGGCCCCGGGAGGTACATGATGTGATGAGGGGGGCTTGCATGAAAGGGCAGCGAGTCAACACCTTATATAACAGCTCCAGTTTCTACGTCAGCGTGAGATACATGGAATCAAAGTCCCTGTGCAACCATTAATGTGTAATGCCTCAGTCACTGCTTCACAAACCAATCTTTAACGCCTCAGCGAGGAAAAAAACAATCCCGCAGTTCTCCCGGGCCCTGGACCTTGAGTCCATCACGGCCACTGGAGCCTCACTCAGACTCAGTTCCCTGACACGAAAGAGTGTCATAGCGTAAAAGAAAAGCAGGGGTGGTGGTTTGTGCCAACACCGAACACTGTTTGCCATGTTTGAGCCAACGCACTTCATCAGAGTTCCACCTGCCTGTGGGCTGCTGCCTGGCTGATAGATGGCCCCAGCATCTGGAGGCCAAAGGGATGACCCGCGGGGTTACCTCCCTGCACACCAAAGATATTCCAACCATCTCCACCCACAGCTCTGTGGCTTGTGCCAAAATAGGTGAACACCTTCCTGGAGTTTGTATGTGTTGATTTATTAAGAGTGATGTCTCCCCACATCCTGCTAAGAAAAAAGGTCTTTCATTTCAGCTTTTGTTGTTGTTATTTTTTGCCTGTTCTGTCTTCCTGGCATGACCCCAGGCACCTCTTAGTAGCTGTTGTGCTGTCTCCAAGACGACAACCTCCCAAGAAAAGATATTCATATTTCACAGAGGATGGGCCTTACCCTGTTCTCTCTTTCCACACCCCACTTAAGAAAATTCCAGTGTTTGGCAACCTGTCAGTGACAGCCTGTCAGAGTAAAATATTTGGCCAGAAGCTATAAATAGCTGCCTTCTGCTGATGTATTAAACCAATAATGATTATAGGAGTAAGGAGCAGGTCTGGGCAGCTCCTCACTGGGCAAGGTGTCTCAGACTTCCGCTCAGGAAGATTCCCTCTCCTTCGGGAATCACCTACCTCAGTGGTTCTAAACTGGGGCCATTCTGACCCCAAGGGACCTGGACAACGTCTGCAGGTGTTTGTGGTTGTCACAACTTGAGGGGAGGGGGAATGCTACCGGCATCTGGAGGGTGGAGGCCAGGGATGCTGCTAAACACCCTGCAATGCCCAGGACAGTCCCCACACCAAAGAACGATCCGACCCAAACGTCTCTTGTGCCAAGGTGGAGAAACCCTGACCATATCTGCTAAGTCACCCTCACTCTTATACGACATTCCAAGTAGTCTGTGGTATATACAGAGAAATCTAGAGTGGAGGTATTGTCACCCTTCTTCAATTCACTTAAACTTCATAAAAATGTATCAAACGTGTCTGCTTGTGTAAGCGTCCACAGATAGGATTGCGTCTCTGCCTTCTGGAAGTCTAATCCCAGCCGTGGAGACAGACACATAGACAAACCACACAAGGGAAGATAAGCCAGCGGTGTTGAGAGTTGTCTCCTCATACGAAGGGCTGGGAACCTGAGACAGAGAGATGAACTCCCCCTGGCCTGGAGGGCAGGCGGGCTTCAGAAGTCCTCAGAAAGGAGAATTCACACTGTGAATTCACGCTGTGAATACAGACGAGGAAACCCCTGCCTTCAAAGTGGGACAGGAAGCACTGAAGGCTTGGGAAGAACTGAGCAAAGACAGGGGCCTGCCTGGTGGGAGAGGACCAGAGGGCTGTGCTGGTGGCTGGCATGGGCTGCGTGGTGCTTTGGGACGGAGGATGAGGCCAACTTTCTTCTTTTTGTTGCATTTACTTTTTTTTGAATAACAGGCCACGTATTTCTGTGTCAGATTTCCATAGTTTCCCCTTTGTTTGCTACAGTAACATTACTAGTCAGTCGAGAATCTTGCCATTTTTATGCAGTATTTAAAGGGGAGAAGAGTTTTCACCCAAAATGTAAATTATCAGGTTCCTCCTGGGGCCAGAACCAAGTAAGATTCTGTACTTGGTTCAGTCGTTACTAACTTTGTGTGAGATCCAATTTGTTTTTAGAAAAACTCGCTTTGAGTGTGTATGTTTGGAAGGATCTCAGAATCATGAGATTCTAGGAATGGAAGAAACCTCAAGAAATGCTCAGGTTCAGTTTTGTCCGGTCCAGCAGACAAGCGCTGATCATCACCCTTTCACACGTGAGACCACTACATTTCTGTATATTTCAGACAGAGAATAAACCTATACTAAAGGGCAGGATTATTTATTGGAAACATTGGCTAAGGGGTACAGTTCTTCAGATTTGGGGGAGTAACCATTGTCCAAGTGGTTCTGCCCAGAGTTGATGGCCCAGAGATCAAGGAGATAATCTTAGCGCACTCACGTGTGTGTGTGTGTGTGAGAGAGAGAGAGAGAGAGAGTGAATGCAGGGCTAAAAGGGCAATAAGAAGCCACCAATCTCAAGATTTATGGGGGTGAGGTGTCCTCATCTCTGCTGATTGAGGGAGCAGAGCCAGTGAGATCTCCTAGAAGCAGATGTGGGGAACAGTTGGGACTGTTAATAGTCAGCAGCTAAAGTCCATCTGGAAAGTGTCTGTCCAAGGATTCCTTGGATACTGGAGCCATTTGAGGAAATTCAGGCTTTTGGCAGAGCAGACAGCCTCCCTTGGGGGCGGCAGGGGTGGAGGGTGGATCTCCCCGGGGATCTTGAGTGCCTGTGGCTACCAAGAAGCACTCCAACCCAGATTTCCCTGAATCTAGGCTCCCTGGGAACCCTCCCACCCTGGTTCAGAAGCTCTGCCTTGATTACAGCTTGAACTGAGATGACCTTGTATTTTCCTGTGAAAACTGCACCCCTATTCACATCAACATCCGCAATGTGGGGCTCATTGCTGCATCATTTGTCCCACTCCAGGGCAGGACCCACCCAGGAAAAGCCCTGATTTTCTTTCTAAGGGACATCCCTAGTTTACCATAGCAAATGGATTATTTCCTCAATAGTAGGCCACTCAGCGTGTGACTCAGAGAGCTGCTTTTGTCAGGTCATGAGATGAAGAAGGAAACAGTGTGGGGAAACACCAGATCCTTGGCTACCCCATTTCCTAAAGCGAGCCTTACCCCTGGCGTCATCAAATGACTTTGGCAGCCTTCTACCTGCCACAAATGAACTGAAAAGACAGATGTGTAAAAACCAGATCCTTTTTATGTGACAACATAAATGCTTTACGAGATCCCTTTACGGCAGCCACTAATCACTTACTCATCTTTTGCTCAACCCAGGGATGGTCCCCTTCTGCTCAGAAGAAATAGAAGAAAAGCAACTTCCATAAAAACAGACTTGGGAGGAATCCACGGCAGGGAGAAGAACGTGGGGAGATCATTCCTGGACATGGCTTCTAGGGGTTGGCGGTACCTTCCAAGATAACGCCAATCAGGGTCATAGTGGCTGCCTCCCTCCCACCCAGGAGACGCCCAGGCTGCCCTATGGATTTTCAGGCTCCTGGTCACTGGCTCTCTGCAGGAAGTCAGTTGTGCATTTGCACTGGAATGAGTGCTTAGGGCAAAGGCACCAAGCTGTCACTGGTTAATATTTCTTTGGAGTAGAAGCAGGTACACATCAAATCTGCTGTGTGTGGCCCTTCACATCTCCTGAACTTTCTAACACTCCTGGTGACGTAGGAGTGATTTACCAAAGGCAAAGGGCATTTGTGTTACACCGAGGGTCTGTTTCCACCTTGGATCCCCGGTCTTCTTGTGTGAGTCTGGAGGCCTGCATCCTTGTTCTCAGAAACTGTGGTTTCAGGGGCCACCTTATTCCCCAGGCTGATCCTCCCAGGTGCTCGGCTGCTGCCTGACTGGGGCCATCACTTCTGGAGTTTGAACTGCAGATTATTCGTCAGAATCTTTGTGATGCCCTGATGCCCTGCTCAGAGCTATCATTTACCAAGCATTGATTCTTGCAAGGTGTTTACATATGTCATCTAACTTAATCCTCACAGGGATCCTGTGCTCACTTTACGAGAAAGGAATTCTGTCCACGCCGGCCACGTTCACCCAAACTGACCCACATAGACCCAGCTAAAGGTAGGAGACCAGACAGCCCCTGTTTGAGCATCCTTATGGCACTTGCTGTCGCTTTACAGGTTTGATTTTTCAAATCGAGTTGCTATCTGATACTCTAGTCCTACTACTGGGAAAATGATACCAGGGAGATGGGGGTGCCTTGGGTATGGCTGGCCTGAGGTAGCAAGCAACCCAAGGTGGGGAGCAGTAGGTCTTGGGAAATCTCAGACAGCTGCGCCAGTAATTCAGCTTCTGTTTCCCCCAAAGCAGCTGAAATCTAGGTTTTGTTTTCGTTTTATATAAGAAAACTTCTAGTTTTAAATGTTGCAACTGATTTAAAAAATGAACGAAACAAAACTTGTTTAACACCCTGCAAGCGAAATAACACATTTGGGAGCTGGTTTGCAACTTCCAGGTTAGGTTTTCCATGAGATACAGAAATTCAAACACGGGCTAGAACAGGACCCATTTTTTTTTCATGAAATATACTTTTTATTAGAGTGTATTAAAATCCTCAAACTTCAGAACAAAGTTCTAAAAAATATAAATGCTTAGGTATTTTTGTCACTAACTTTATTTTCCATATTAATATCACCTTCTATGCATACGACAGTTTACACGGTGCATTAAGATCGAGGATATTGTCCCATCTGTTGCTCACAAGGCAGCTGTGAGGTGTGCACTGTTACTTCCCTGGGTGCAGGCAGGGAAACTGAGGCTGAAAGAGGCTCAGCCACTGACTCAAAGCCCCAGGACCACACACTGTCAGCCTGAAACCCAGCCACAGCTTCCCAACTCTTCTGTTCTTTTCATTCAGTAAACTTTGATTTTTAGTTTCTCTCATCAGCACTACTATACCAATAAGTATTCTTCACTCCAGACCACACAATTTTTTTCCCAAGGCAGCTCTAGCATGAAATAGAAAAGAAATCATAAACTCTCCTTTAACCTAGCACTGAGCTTTTTTTTAAGAGGCCAATAAGGGAGAGGGTGATGGCTCTTAACCCAAGGTTGGGGGGCCTAAGAGTGAGTGGAAGGAGGAAACCTGTACCCCCTGCAATTGTCTGAACCACTGTGTGGAGAGGTGCCCTGGACATGTTCTGGGGAAGGAGACTGTAGCTTCCTCCAGAGGGTGTCCAGCTTTCTTGCAGAGGGCGAGAGCTGTGCAGGTTTGACTCCAAACCCTTGATCTTTATCGATACTGAATCATAACTTAAGCAACCTTCCTAAATCTGCAAACTGATTTTTCCCCAATACGCTCCTCTATCAGGAAGATGTAACTCAAGTCACTTTGCATCTGAAATTGGTCGCCACCAACTAATTTAATCCCTTGCTTATCAATGGCTTATTACTATGGATCCGGCTGTGTTCCTGCAGGACAGGCCTCCGCAGTTGTTAGGACCTTGATCAGCCCTCAGACTTTATAGCTGGTTTCTTCTTAAAAGGCCCAAGCCTGTTTTTCCTGTAATGAACATTGCAAAACAGTTTTGAACAAAATATAATCTTTTCATGAGGAATAATTGCTTTGTGCTAACATGTTAAGAACCCTCATACACTGTTGATGGGAATGTAAATTGTTGCACCGACTGTGGAAAACAGTATGGAAATTTCTCAAAAATTAAAAATAGAACTGCCATATGACCCAGAAATTCCACTCCCGGGTATATATCCAAAAAAAACCAATAAAACACTAACTCGAAAAGATACATGCACCCCATTGTTCATAGCAGCATTATTTATAACTGCCAAGATACGGAAGCAACCTAAGTGTCCATCAACAGATAAATGGATAAAGAAGATGTGGTATATATATACAGTAGAATACTACTCAACCATTAAAACCATTAAAAGAATGAAATTTTGCCATTTGCAGCAACGTGAATGAGCTTGGAGGGCATTATGCTCAAGTGAAATAAGTCAGAGGAAGACAAATACTGTATATCACTTATACGTGGAGTCTAGAAAATACAACAAACTGGAGAATATAACAACAAAAAAAGAGGCACTCACAGATATAGAGAACAAACTAGTGGTTACCAGTGGGGAGAAGGAAGGAGGGACAATATAGGGGTCGGGGATTAAGAGCTACAAACTATTAGGTATAAGCTAAGCTACAGGGATATACTGCACAACACGGGGAATAGAGCAAATATTTCATTATAACTGTAAATGAAGTATAACCTTTACAAATTGTGAATCACTGTAGTGTACACCTGTAAGTTATCTAATACTGTACAACTATACTTCAACTAAAAAAATTTTTTTAAAGAATATGTAAAAAGAAGAACAAAGTAAGCAATAAAGTAACAGGCATTTCTTCTGTTAAGAAGTCTTTCTGGACAATGCAAGAACCCATAGCAGGAACTTCTCACTAGATGGTACAAAGAGCACCCAGGGCCTAGAGTGTCACCTATTTCATCACCTTTGCAACTGTCTGTGGGAGACAACGTGCAGAGAATTTTTATAGCAGGGGGTGAGGAACCCCCCAAAGATGACATCATAGGGAAGCACAGCACAGGTGTGGAGTCGGGTGGCCTGGATTTGATATCCAGCCTTGCACCAGCCCATGGTGTGACTGAGGATGTCATCTTACCTCTCCAGGGCTCCTGAGCTCCTGTCTCTCTGACAAACTGACCTCTAGGGACAAGAAGGTCAGAAGGGAAAAAGGAAACAGGAGTAATATCTACCGAGAACCCACCAGGTTACCAGGTCCCCTGCCTGGTATTATCACACCCATCCTCTCATTTAAATCCTCACAATGGAGGGGCTCCCCTGGTGGCACAGTGGTTAAGAATCTTCCTGCCAATGCAGGGAACACAGGATCAAGCCCTGGTCCAGGAAGATCCCACATGCCACGGACCAACTAAGCCCATGCGTCACAACTACTGAGCCTGCGCTCTAGAGCCGCGAGCCACAACTACCGAGCCCGCATGCCACAAGTACCGAAGCCCGCACACCTAGAGCCTGTGCTCCGCAACAAGAGAAGCCACCGCGATGAGAAGCCCGTGCACCGCAACGAAGAGTAACCCCCACTCACCACAACTAGAGAAAGCCTGCGTGCAGCGACGAAGACCCAACGCGGCCAAAAATAAATAAATAAAACAAATAAATTTATAAAAAGTTAAAAATTTTTAAAAATAAGTAAATCCTCGCAATGGGACTTTTGGATCCGTGCCCAAGGCCACGTGACTTGTAGACGGCATGGCCAGAATCCAAAGCTGGGTCTGTCCAACCCTAAATGACACGGTTCAGGGGATCTCAAACTCCACCCATGAAGCACCTCCAGCAAGAGAAAAGACTGACCCCTTGGATTAGTTTGCTCAGAGCTCCTGTAATGAAGTACCACGGGCTTCAACAAAAGAAATATGTTGCCTCACGATTACAGAGCCCGGAAGTTTGAAATCAACATGTCAGCAGGGTTAGTTCCTTCCAAGGCTGAGAGGAAGGATCTGTTCCAGGCCTTCGCCTAGCTTCTGGGGGTTTGCTGGCAACCTTTGGCATCCTTGCCTGGTAGACACATCACCCCCATCTCTGCCTCCACGTTCACACAGCCTTCTCCCCGTGTGCATGTCTGTGTCTCATTTCCACTTTTTATAAGGACGCCCGTCACACTGGATTAGGGGCCCACCTAAGGAATTACATCTGCAATACCCTATTGCCAAATAAGTTCATATTCTGAGGTCCTAGGAGTTAGAACTTCAACGTATTTGGAGAGACACAATTCAACCCATAATACTGCCCACTTCAGGAGTCTCAGGGGTGTGGCTTATGGCCTCTGCTACCAGCACAAAATGTTTCTGAAGCATCGTGCATTATCTTTAAAATGTCTGCAAACTGAGCACACAACTCCATTGTTAGATCACTATTTCATATAAAACAACATTTCCCCAAAGTCTGTGAGTAAAATTCGTGATCCAGAAAGCTGCTGCATGTTGACCCTAGGGATCTGGGACCTCACATCTTTTCATGTCTGTAGAGGATGCTCACACCAAGTGTGAGAGCCTCTGAGAAGCAGAGACACCTGTAAGGAAGAAAAGGCACATTTAACCTAAATGAGCATGAAGAATATTGACTGAGACAGGGCTGAACGAGAAGTCATGTGAACTAGATACACAGAGAAAATACAGAACATCCCTGACCAAGATCCCTGACCAACAAACCAGACCCGTGTGGAAACAGCACTTGCAGAGAGCCCTGTTGCAACCACATGGCTTTTTTTCATTCTCTCCTCTTTCCTTTTGAACAGAAATCAGCGTCGCACAGCACTGTTCATCCCGTTTCCCCAACACAATGGCTTTTGAAGAACATGCTTTTGAAGTGCAGGTGCTGTGGGGACAAAGCTGACGGTTGTGGTAGTAACCAGCTTTGTAACACACTGGTCAGATTCACATTTTTCTATTATAGTAAATGTGCCTCAAGTAACAGGACTTACCAGCAACACTAACCATGGCCATACTGTTCTTTTACTTCCTAAGAAATAACATTTTCAGAAGTGACAAAGGACTCTGACAAAGGCCCAGCAATGGGAGTGAGAATGACTCAAGTGGCAGAAAGGGCTCTCGATGTGGTTCGCTTACTGCCCCACTTGGTTTGTGACAGAAAAGTGGGTCGAGCTGATGCATTTCCACACGCTGAGGACCTACCGCCAGTCCCTAGAGCTGCACTGCCTCCAGAGCCCAAGCTGGAGAGAGCCTCTGATGGACAAGGCTCCAAAGACAGCACCAGATACCTCGATGGCCTGGAAAAAGAGGTGGCTTTCTGCTTTCCTTGCTTAAAAACATGGGGACCACGGTGTTCTTTTAATTTTTTCCCTGCCCCTCTATTAGGAGACATACGAACTTCACAAAGGCATTCCTTGTCCACTTAGCAGAAATGTCTATCAAAATCAGACCACAGTCAAGAAGAACACATCCCACAGGATGTGGCCAAGTGACAAGCCTGGAGAACACACCTGACACAAGGTTATCGCTCAGGGCAGCCATGAGGCTGCAGCTCCACTCAGGAAAAACCCCTACTGATGC